CTTTGGATATTATTGTCATCTTAACAATATCAAATCTTTCATGAGTGGTGGCATGTCTTTCCATTTATTTTGGACTTCTTTAATTTTTCAGGAGCTCTGGTGACATAGTGTCAAAGGCATTTGACTGCTAACCAGAAGACTGGTGGTTCAAACCCACCAGCCACTCCTCGGAAGGAAGGTTGGGCAATCTACGCAATCTACTTCCGTAGTGATACAGCCTCAGAAACCCAAGGAGGGGTCTCTATGAGTTGGATCCAACTCCGCAGCAGTAGTTACATTGTGTTATGTTAATTTCTCACAGCAGTGTTTTGTAGTTTTTAGTGTATAATACTTTTTGATTGTCTTATGTTAAACCAACCTTGCATTCCTGCCATAGCTCTCACTTTGTCATGACGTATTGCCCTTTTTAGATGTTGATGACCTTGGTTTGGTAGTAATTTTGTGGAGTACTTTTGTGTCTATATAGGACCAATTTAAGAGCGATTAGTCTATAGTTTTCTTGTAATGACTTTGTCTGGTTTTGGTATCAGTGTATACTGACCTCACAGAATGAGTTCTATTTTTTGGAAGAGTTTGTGAAGAATTGGTATTAAGTCTTCTTTAAACGTTTGTTAGAATTTAGCACTGAAGCCTGGGCTTTCCTTTGGGGGAGGTTTTTTAGTTACTAATTTAATCTTTTTTACTTGTTGCACTATTTCTTACTTATAGGGCATGTAAACTGCTTACAGACACACACTTTTGCAGAAGGAGAAGTGATCTCAGAAAAGTGAGCCCAGCAGGGGTTGGGAAATTTGGCAGTTTCTGGTTGCCTCCTTGTGGAGCTTACCTTCTCTCCTCTTTATTATTCCATGTGCCATAGAGGAAGCAGCTAGTTGTCCTTCCTCCCTCCTGAGTGAATGCTTTTGATGGACCAATAAGCTGAGCCTGTCCTTTGAGTGAAAAGATTGTGTAACTTGACCTGACATACGAGAAAGTTAGCACGCAAATCAAGGCAAGTGAGAGCAGAAGCTTTCTCAGACCTCCCTAGAAGCTTTTTTCCTTTTTTGCCTGGCCTTAGATATTGATAAAAAGTGAAGACACCTCAGATCCTAAGTGAGAGACCATTGTAAACTATATGATACAGCCATTTAAAACATGGGATAAGTTTTGTATGTGCTGATTTGAAATCATCTCCAGGATATATGACTAAGTGAAACGTGAAACATAGTATGCTGCTATTTGTATTGAGGAGACAAAAGGAAAAGAACCCATAAATACATACAGGCTAGTAAATGCAAAGTACCTTTGGAAGGATATTCAAGATAAGAATCAAGGATGACAGGAGACTTAGCACTGCTTGATTTTTTTTTTTTTTTTTTAATTGTGATTTTGGGTGAATGTTTACAGAGCAACTTTGTTCACCGTTCAACAGTTATACATGTTTTTGGTTTTGTTTTAATTGTGATTTGGGTGAAAGTTTACAGAGCAGATTCATTTTCCATACAGTAGTTCATATACATTTTGTTTCATGATGTTGAAATGCAATTGCCACAGTGCAACAGCTGTCTTCCCACTTCCTCCCTGTGGTTATCTTTTCCTTGTGTCCTTTCCTATGCATTCCTGCCCTCTGAGCTATTTCCCGGTGCAAATACTACCTTTCTGATGTCCCATGATTGTTTGTTCTAAGGTGTGTACCTACCTAGTATAAATGTTTACCTATATTGTATAGTAGAGCTGACAAGGGGCAAGGTTTTGGTCATTGCTTGGTCACAGCCAGCTACCCAGAGCGACCGAGTAGTTGATCCTGCGGGCTTGAGACCATAGTCGCAGGGGACATCAAACTCAATTGGCATAACATACTATACAAAACATTGTTCCACCTCCTACTTTGGCGAGTAGTGACTGGGATCTTAAAAGCTAGCAAGCTGCCATCTAGAT